TTCTCTTCTCTTAATCTATATGGAAGAGAATTTTTAATTTTCTGATATTATACTTAAGATTTTTCTTTTGGTTTGTTGGACGAACGCGTTGTCGCGAACACATGTCGTCTTAGGATCGAATTATTTATCTCAATACCTTCAATATTGGCAAAACGTTGTTCGTTTTCCTTTTCTTTTTTTTTTATATTTCAATTCAAGGAATAGGTAGGGGATCTTGCTCCTCTCAACGAATCTTCATAATTTTGAAATAAATTTGCTAACTGTGGGGGTCAGACACCTAAAAGACCTCCGCTGTTTTAATATTTCCGCAATGACAAGACAAATGAACTCATTCGAGTCCGCAGTTTTTTTCGTATTCTCATAAAGTAGAGAAGACGCGAGTAATGCTGGGACAGCCTTTGCTATTAACGATGTCAGTAAGTAAATAAAGAAGTTGATGGTGAAATGTGTGAATAGACACATGTTGTGTGTCTATCAATGCAGTTTTTCTAAAATTAAATGTCATCCACTTCCAAAGCATCCAAACAAGTTTCGAGACAAAAAAGAAGCAATCCAATCAACCAAGCAGCGGACTGCCTCTCGTTCTGTCTCGGTTGGTAGGGTTTCTCGATTTCGGTGCCTGTATTCATTTGTATTAAAATTGCGAATGTGCAGCGAATCTGAAAAGTATCTCCAAACCTGCCACTTTTCACTTATTTTACCTGATCGGTCGTCGAGCGTAATTAAAAATGGCACTCAATGTTCAAGGCTCCCGCAGCACGAAATCCAAGAGTAAGCTATTTATCTGGGCTTGGGTCCCAAAACGAATTGATTTTGATAAGAAGAACGTTTTATATTCAAAATGATCGCTTCTCGTTAATCTAAGACTGCGAATAGTTACCATATCTCGGGTGCGCACATCCTAGCAATTGCTGGATTTGTGCTGAAGGAATTCTAATCGCTTTACTGACAAGCGAGAAGAGCACGAAATCGAAACGATTTTTATGAGTACAATATTAAATTTGTTTTTTCTCTCTCCTTTTGAAGTCTTCAACATTTAGGTCAAGTAATTTATGGCTTTTGAGATGTTTTTATGGCTTTTCACAACACACACGAACGTGAATGTGAACAATTTTATTCCAACTCGAATATAAACCATTTCTTGGTTTTGTTATGCTTAATAACTGTGATCCAAGGTAAATTTTGTCCATTGTCGCTATTAAAATTAGCCCAAATATTCAAATTAGGTAGAAAAAGTTTAGATTGAAAAACTTTCTCGCACAATACCACGAGTTGTAATAACTTGATTTATTTTCTCTTATTTCCTTTTTTTTTTTAAAGTTGTCACATATTGTGTAAAAGTCTCTTCATTACGTATTGATGACAGACTGCAACCACAAAAGTCATTCGAAAAGTTTTTGTAATGCAAAAGTTGCTTTAGTTGTTTCATCGCAAGTTAAATACGTGGGTATGTTAAAAATTTAAAAATAATAATTAGTAGAAAAAGTTTGAATTAGAAAGTTTTTGATTAAAATTATTTTAAAAAAGGAACAAGAGCAAGAACTCATAATATACTTGGAATGAAGTTTTCGATACTCCACCTACCATTAAGGACATGTTTAAACCTTCCTTATTTTTTATTTATTTATTTTTTTAAAATTATTTGAAAACCTTCGAAATGTCGCCGTGAATTTGCTAAAAAAGCGTCTGAGGACAGACAGCATGCCAGAAATCACATGATAGTTTCATAGTCTTGTTTACTTTATACCTAATAGCGAGACTTCTTGAGAAAAAAATGTGGAATATGTCGTGCAGATTGAACGCGAAATGTTTGTTCATGAATGAAATGGTTTTAGTTTTACCAGGTTTTTTGGTGCAGAAATACATTGAATGCATAATTTCATGAAAATTACATTAGTCTTTAATATATCAATATGAACGATCTATCTATCTTTATTCGTGAACATAAGCGGTGTAACCATTTTATAATACGTTCGACTCTGGCAGCGGCTGACGAGAAAGTCGTCATTCGGGTTTTTGCTCGTTCGTTGTCGATTCAAGGGTCACTGATTGCCCCGTAAATCATCCCATTCTGCGTCGTACTTTTTCTTTTCTTTGGTCACCACATAGCTACCTAAGCACTATACTCTCTATATACTCATATTATAATCTTTATTCGGTATTTACTTGCAAGTAACAATTAATACAGATTCTCGTCTACACTCAAGCATAATTTTTTGCATTTACATTAAGACGAGTTGTAAACCCTTTCAAATTTGTTAAGAAAAATGTTTTATTTTTTCGGAACTTTTTTGCAATTATTCGACGTAGCGATGGATCTGATCTGTTTGTAGGCTGATTCATGACCGATTTCGATTAGGTGCATTTTATTATCAGCAAGGAAAATCGGCAAGTATATAAAAAAACGGGACGGGAGGAGACGGTACGGAAATGTAATTAAATTACAACGACGATCAAGAAGGGTTATGGGGAATAAGATCATAACGATGGAATTTAATTACCGCTGTGCTTTGAATATTACGGGTTTGCTTTAACAAAAAAATTTTTTTATTGTTGTGCCCACTGATCGTGTTTTGCTATTACATGCGATCAAATAGGTAAGTCAGTGTATACCCGAAAAGAGATGCGGTTATTTCTTCGTAGTATAAATTTGACACCAAGATCGATATGTTGCGATAACTGTTGAACACCTTGACATCTAACAGATAGCGTAAAGGGAAAGATAAAACTTATATCTGATAGATCAGCGAATAAGTAAAATATCTAATTACAATTGCCACCAGGTAGTGTTCATTAAAAAGCATAGGCATAAAAGCAACTCAGCGCAACTAATCCGACTCTATGAGAATTTTTGCATTCGTACTGACGAACGAAAGCTTTCCTGCGTAGAGCTGGTACTGACTGTTCTCTTTGAAATTGCGTTTCAAGTGCTATCTGATTATATAATGACAGTGAGTTTTCATTAACTATAAGTACGTGTTAATTCATCTATCGGTTTATTTTTAATCCTTACTTATGTGTACGATAATCTACTTATCATAATAGCCGCCTTAACTTCAATGCTTACAAAAGCTTACGAAGGACTATTGCGCACAAATGGGTAGAAACTAATAAAAATCACCAAGAATGTAAGATTAAAAGAGTAAGTTGCTCACGGTTTGATGCACTGCAAGACGTGAAATATAATAATCTCAATGTATAGCTACGGAAGGGATAGGTTTAACGTAACCTTAAAAGCCGCTCATGAATTGCAAGCAATTGAAATCTTAAGAGTTCACTTACAGTTCAACGAAATGCACGCACTTGTGTATATCATCGCACCCTCACCTATCTAATGCATGATTTGTTATCCATCATAGCTATAGCTAGATACCGACTTATACACGGATTCGGTTCGAGCAACTACAATTAATTAAATAAAAATTTAGTCAACATGTCATTTACATATTCGCTCGTACATATAGACATTAATTCATTAGCATAACACTTGTTTCCGAAGTACGCCAGAGCATTGTACTTGTGTTGTCACCCATACTTACAACAATTCACAACACACTTTAGCGTATCATGAACAAGTAGGAGATGTTTTTTTTTTTTTCATTTTTATTTTATTTTTATTTTTTTTGTGATGATAAATAACTTAACACTGTGCGATAGGCAGAGTTTCCATTATATAGCTGACGTTGTGTTTTTGTGGTTTACTCTCTCATATTGTATGTGCATGCATACGCTCATGTTTGCATACGTTCATCTATCTCATTTACAAAATAACTATTGACAAACAATCTCTCTATCTCTGTCTGTCGATAAATAGATAGACATTATCACATTTGTCATCCACCAGCAAAGTGTTGCAAATGCGGAAAATATCATCAGCGCTAACAAAAGCTTTTATCAGTAGAGTATTTAAAAAGATTTGTGTAACATTTGCATTTGTCGTTGTCACAATCATAATACAAATTTAATGATCTGTCTGTACGATTATAATAATACAATAATAACAGTAGCGACAGATTCATGTGAAATGCTGTCGTTGCCGTTTTACAAGTATTTTAATAAATGACAACTGACAGCATAAACGTGGCGATAATAAATTAAATGTTTTGGAAAATGTTTACAAAAGCAAAAAAAGATAGTCGTCAGTCATTCAGTAATAAGAAAACAATATTTGACTTAAGACGAATCTCCGATAACGAGTTAGGATTTTATTAACTGTTTTATTTATGTCAGCTAAATTATTTGAAAACTATTTGTAAAGACATTTTAAAATTTCTTATTCGAAAGTCCCCTTCCGCTTTTAAACTGGACCCAGTTTTCGATTTCGATTCCCACTTTACAGAATCTATTCTACACAATTACTCCATTGAAATCATCACAAGTAAACAACATTATCTCAGGGATGTGGAAGTATTCCGAGGCATGGGCGAGATATTACATTTGCAAAGAGATAAGCAATGCACACGACTTACGGGAAGGTACTGCAATGAATTTAAAATACAGACATAATTAAACTTGATAGCTTTACGCCAGACATTGTTTATTGAATGAGGTGCTTCAACACCTTCGTATGCATTTTGAACTTAATCGTAAGCTGGTGTCGCGTACATTTTTAAATGTCAATGAATGACCAACGGCCCTAAATAGAAAATAAATAAGTAAAATAATAAATTCGCAGTTGCTTTCAGTTCAGTTGGCATTTAACAATTTCTACATGTATGTAAACTTCTCATGCATTAGGAATGGGAATTGAATATCTTCTATCACTTATAATCAATTATAATGACCTAATTAATACTTACGAGACTGTCTCGTTTTCTTTTTTTCGTGTGCACACGCTTTGCGCATTTCACGTATTTTATAAATCAACCACATATACGCACCCGTGTTGTGTCCTTCTATGCTAACTAATTGACCGCAACGGCAATTGCAAACCAACGAAACACAAACACCTACTATTTCGCCTCTTCATAATGTGTGACGACAATGGTTTTCTTTTCCAGAGCGTCGATTCCGACGTTGGTTCACTAAATATGAATTCAACCGAAAATGAAGTTCCTGAAGTGGAATCATCCAGTGAAATAATGGCCGATGATAATAAGCCAACAAACTCGAACGATGAAAGTTGGACAGACGTCAACTTGAATGAGGACACTGGTGTGCAGTCCAGTGTCAGTGGTAATGGTGGCACTCTAATACAGGGTGATATTAGAATGCACGACCAGCATACAGCGCATCAACAGCATTTGCACGCTTCACAGCAACAACATATAATTAATGAACGCGGTGATAAACCAGATTCAGAGATATCTGTTGTACGGGTACCAGATAATTATGCGGGAACAAGTGGCCATTCTAGTAATTCTGCCAATAATTCTGTGGTTACATCGTCTCAAAGGGGTTGTCGTGCCGATGATTTGCCTATGAAACCACCACTTGTAGGTCATTTGCCTTTGACTACGCCGTCACGTGAAGCTAGTCTTACGCAGAAACTTGAGATAGCTTTAGGTCCGGTGTGTCCTCTTTTGCGTGAGATTATGGTGGATTTTGCCCCTTTTCTTTCGAAAACCCTAGTGGGTTCGCATGGCCAAGAACTATTAATGGAGGGAAAAGGTTTAACTACGTTTAAGAACTCTCATTCGGTAGTTGAGTTAGTAATGTTGTTGTGTTCGCAAGAATGGCAAAATAGTTTGCAAAAGCATGCTGGTTTAGCATTCATAGAACTCATTAATGAAGGCCGATTATTATCACACGCGATGAAAGATCATATAGTTCGTGTAGCTAACGAAGCAGAATTTATTCTCAACAGAATGCGTGCTGACGATGTTCTAAAGCATGCTGATTTCGAATCACAGTGCGCTCAAACATTGCTTGAAAGGCGTGAAGAAGAGCGTATGTGTGACCACTTAATTACAGCCGCCCGCCGCCGGGATAATGTTATTGCTAGTCGTTTACTTGAGAAAGTTCGTAATATTATGTGTAACCGACATGGTGCGTGGGGTGATGCTAGCGGTAGTGTTCAGAAGCAAACTTACTGGAAGTTGGATGCCTGGGAAGATGATGCTCGACGTCGTAAGCGTATGGTTCAAAATCCCCGCGGTTCCTCACATCCTCAGGCAACGCTTAAAGCTGCCATAGAAAACGAAGGACCTGAGGATGCTATTCTACAAACTCGTGATGAATTTCATACCCAAATTGCCGTTTCCCGTGCCCATCAAGCCAACCAACACACTGCCGACCTACTAGACGACGCTGAGTTGCTCATCGAAGACCGGGAACTCGATCTGGACCTTACCGGCCCCGTTAATATTAGCACCAAAGCCAAACTTATTGCACCTGGCTTAGTAGCTCCTGGCACTGTATCTATTACGAGTACTGAGATGTTTTTTGAGGTGGACGAGGAACATTCCGAATTTCAGAAAATTGATCCTGAAGTTTTAAAATACTGTGATCATCTACATGGCAAATGGTATTTTTCAGAGGTACGAGCAATTTTTTCGCGTCGCTATTTATTGCAAAATGTAGCCCTGGAAATTTTCTTGGCTTCCCGCACATCCATATTGTTTGCTTTTCCTGATCAGCTAACTGTGAAGAAGGTGATCAAAGCTTTGCCGCGTGTCGGCGTAGGCATTAAGTACGGTATACCACAGACCAGACGAGCTTCGATGATGTCGCCACGTCAGTTGATGCGCAACTCGAACATGACCCAAAAATGGCAACGCCGTGAAATCTCCAATTTTGAATATTTAATGTTCCTTAATACAATAGCTGGACGTACATACAACGATTTAAATCAATATCCTATATTCCCGTGGGTCTTAACCAACTACGAAACCAAAGAATTGGACCTCAGTTTGCCTTCCAACTACCGTGATCTATCGAAACCTATTGGTGCCTTGAACCCCTCAAGGCGGGCCTACTTCGAGGAACGCTACGAAAGCTGGGAAAGTGATACCATACCACCGTTTCATTATGGTACGCATTATTCCACTGCTAGTTTTACTCTCAATTGGTTAGTGAGAGTAGAACCATTTACCACAATGTTCCTAGCTTTGCAGGGTGGTAAATTCGATTATCCGGATCGTTTGTTTTCATCAATCTCTTTGTCGTGGAAGAATTGTCAACGTGATACCTCAGATGTTAAAGAATTAATACCGGAATGGTATTTTTTGCCTGAGATGTTTTACAATTCGTCAGGGTACCGTTTGGGTCATCGAGAAGACGGTACCTTGGTGAATGATATAGAGCTGCCTCCTTGGGCTAAAACGCCTGAAGAGTTTGTGCGCATCAACCGCATGGCTTTAGAATCGGAATTCGTCTCGTGCCAATTGCATCAATGGATAGATTTAGTATTCGGGTATAAGCAGAGAGGACCGGAAGCTGTACGTGCAACAAATGTTTTCTATTATCTCACTTATGAAGGCAGCGTAGACCTGGAAGCTATTGGGGATCCAGTAATGCGTGAAGCTGTGGAAAATCAAATACGTAACTTCGGTCAAACTCCCAGTCAACTGCTAATGGAACCACATCCGCCTCGCAGTTCGGCAATGCATTTATCCCCGATGATGTTTAGTGCCATGCCTGATGACCTTTGTCAGATCTTGAAATTCTATCAGAATTCACCCGTTATACACATTTCAGCGAATACTTATCCACAGCTTTCTCTACCATCGGTTGTGACTGTGACAGCGGGTCATCAGTTTGCAGTAAACCGTTGGAACTGCAACTACACCGCCTCCGTCCAGAGCCCCAGTTATGCTGAATCACCACAATCACCAGGTTCGATAAAACCTCTGACCATTGATCCAGTGTTGAGTAAGTTTAATCATTTATTAATATAAAGTGCATAGTATGACCAGTTTCATTTTTCTCTTGCAAATAATTCAGCTGTTCAGAATACCAATCACAACAATCCTATGAATCGAAGACATTTGGGTGATAATTTCAGTCAGATGTTAAAAATACGTTCCAATTGCTTTGTGACCACCGTTGATAGCAGATTCTTAATAGCATGTGGATTCTGGGATAACAGTTTTCGCGTATTCTCCACTGAGACAGGTAAGTTCTTAAACGACTATATAGATAATCGATGGTTTTGTTATTTATTCAATTCCAGCCAAAATTGTGCAAATCGTTTTTGGACACTTCGGTGTAGTCACCTGTTTGGCTCGTTCCGAGTGCAATATTACTTCGGATTGTTACATAGCTTCTGGTTCCGCCGATTGCACAGTGCTACTTTGGCATTGGAATGCACGAACACAAAGCATTGTCGGAGAAGGGGATGTGCCTACGCCGCGTACAACTTTAACGGGTCATGAACAAGCTGTCACGTCCGTCGTAATTAGTGCTGAATTAGGTTTAGTAGTTTCTGGATCGACAAGTAAGTTTTAAATTCTGTTTAAAAAGCAAAAAAGGCCTTTTCTTTATACACCATTTAAAGCAAGTTAAAGATTTCATTTGCATTTATATCTCAATTTTTTTTTTAAATTCTTCTTTTCATCCTACAACAGATGGTCCTGTTCTCATTCATACCACATTCGGTGATCTCTTACGATCTTTAGATCCTCCTTTTGATTTTAATTCCCCCGAACTAATTGCAATGTCCCGTGAAGGTTTTATTGTAGTTAACTACGATAAAGGTAATGTAGCCGCTTACACCATTAATGGAAAGGAGTTGCGCCATGAAACTCACAATGATAACTTACAGGTTTGCGATATACTTTATTATATTTTAATAACACTTATAGCAAGTTCAACTTGAACTTGTTGAAAATAAAGTATAGTCTCATTGAAACTAGTTACGATACATTAATAGGTTTACGTAATGCTGTAATCTAATGCAAAACAACACATCAAGAACAACCCTTTACACAATCGAAGTCTGACAGATATCTAAACAAAGAAATTCTTAATCATTATTCATCTTACTACATTAATATTTTATATGGCTACCTGGGCTATCGAGTAATGACTACTATGCTCGCTCAAGTTTATAGCAATGAGCCGAATGAGACTGTTGAAAATAATTATTAATTTGTATATTGAGGCCGTTAAGTAACGTTAGGAGGAATAACGATAACAAGAGATCGAATAAATATGTATATATATAGTCAGAGAAACTTTCATTTATGATCATAACGGAAGAAAAAATTGTGTATAACATTCCATTTACAGAAATATCGGAAAGAAGAGCTTCGTCACGATATTTACGGGTTCGGATTATTCGCTTCTTTTTTTTTTTAAACAGGAAAGAAGAAGTTACATCCGCCTTAGGACATATTTTTGTTAGCTCGTATACGAGATTTGATTCAAAAATAGAACGAAGTTTCATAAATTTAATATTTAAATCGTACGTAGTACATATTCTTTTATTTTGCACGAGCAGTTGGCTCTTTATAATTTGCGGCGTAAACTGAAAGCCCTATCCGCATACTCTGCCTTATTTATGCAAATATATTGTTAAATGTGAATATATACGCAGAAAACGGTACGTGATTTTCAAACTAAAATGCATTATCAATGAACGCACACACCATAGGCTATAGATATGATTAAATCGATTGCAATATTCGCACCGGTCAAGGATGTGCATATGTTATGAGGTTTCCGCGGCACAATTTCCTAAAAATTTAATGCATCCCAGTGGAATTCGGAAAAGGAAGTGTGTTTTCGCTTTCAGTAAATATCTGCAGAGCTCTTCGTAATTAACCGTAAACACAGACGGACTTCAAATGATGGCCTTTCAAAATAAGGTTCTTATATAGGAAGTGATCGAGAAAGCAGTCCGATCCACAATGTTTTCAATATCGTTCATTCTTGACCCGAAGCACGCCGGTATAATAAATTTCGTCAAAATATTTCAAAAATTACGACCTGCAGGTTTTTAACCACAAGAAAAGAAGATAAACAAACAGACAGGTTGACAGAGAAGCTTAAACGACGATGTAAAAAAAGATGGTTCTATTTCATGTCCTTATGCCTTCTATTTCATGGCCATATATTAATACACAGTTCTTACCTTCAACAATACTATCAATCTTCGGAAGTGCTGAATGCCCCTTTTATTTTTTTGAACAGACTTTTACCGCGTACTATTAAACAGTCAATCTAAGATACTGAAATTTTGCATAACAAGGAATCATATGTAACAGAAACATTGAAAAAGTTAAAAGTTAAAAAAAAAATTCAGGGTAATCTAGAAGATGGAGGCATTTTGCAATTTTGAAATATCTCTATATATATATGTGTGTCGTAATATTTAAGTATGCGATGTTTTAATTGTTTCCATATTTTTGTATTCCTCCGCTTAGTGTATGTTATTATCGCGTGATGGTGAATATCTGATGACAGCCGGAGATCGCGGTATAGTTGAGGTGTGGCGAACTTTCAATTTAGCCCCACTTTATGCCTTCCCCGCCTGCAATGCCGGCATACGTTCACTGGCCTTAACACATGATCAGAAGTAAGTGTATTAGGGATTGACCTAATTTTGCTTATAAATAAGAAAAGGAATGGATCGATTGTAAGCTAAACTTAAGCGACTTTTCTCATAAATATTTTCTTTTTCTTTTTTGTTTCTTTTTCTACATGCATTTCAGGTATTTGCTGGCTGGTCTGTCAACTGGTTCAATTGTCGTCTTTCACATTGACTTTAATCGCTGGCATCATGAATACCAACAACGCTATTAAATAATATAAATGAAAATCTAAAACAACAACAACAACAACAACCACAACAAATTACAAATTACTTTCACTTTATTCCCGTAGCAGGCCAAATGAAAAGTCAAACGCGATATTTAAGGTATGAAAACAAATTTTATAAAAATTAACAAAAACAAAGAAAAAAACAAAAAAAACAAAAACGGTGACATATTAATATTTTTTACAAGGCCCCCTAATAGCCCTCTTTTTAAGATTCAATGCCAAGCACCTTACAAAAGAAGAAAGGAAAAATGGTGTTAAGGTTAAATTAAAATTAAAAAAAAAAAAAAAACAAAAACAAATAGAAATCGCGAGAGAAGAAAATACATACATAATTTAGTTGAATTCTTAGCAATGTTGAGTTATTTTTCATAGACTTTTTCCCCCTTTTTGAAAAATTAGCGAGATGATTAAAAACAAACTTTAATTAGTAAAGTTTTAGACTAGGAAACAATCCTTTACTAAGTAGTTTAGAGACAAAAAAAAAAAAACAAAAAACAAACAAACAAAAAAAAAAAAAAATGAAAACAACAAATTGTTGTTTATTTCGAAAACATTTTTTTAATATTATTTTTATAATTGAAAAAGTACTTATTTCAGTTCGTTAATAACAAGTTCAAAATATGAAAATAAAAAGATTTAGTACTAAAGCTTATTTTAAATTAAACAAAAACGAAAAAGTAAAACAAACTAGAAACCTAGGAGAAAAGAATGGATTTACAAAATAATTTTATTCATAACTATTATGAAAACTAAGCGGCCAAAAACAAGAAAAGAAGAAAGAAAGTAAGAAAGAAACAAACACATTCACGTAAAGTACTTAAATAATAATTAAATGAGAAAATAAACAATAAAAGATGAGCAAAGAAAGAAATTAGTAGCTTACAGTTTTTATCAGCAAAGCAGTATAAACAGCTTCAGTGACTTTGTTACGCGACTACGCAATCGGTTACGTTTCATAAAAAAGTACATTTCTTCTTTTATGTATTTATTTATTTTTTTTTTTTGAATTTTATTTCATTTTGTATATAGCAGGAAAAGAAACAAAAAAATTTCTAAATTTCTGGCCTCCCTCCCAGTGTGTAAAATAATTTCTATATTGCGTCCATACAAAAACCAAAAAATAAAAAAAAGGAGAAAACAAAGAAAAAAATAAAAAAACTTTTCTATATCATTAAATCAGAATACGTCCATTAATTTTTTATGAAATGCGTTTTTTGAAAACAAACAAGACAAAAAGCAAAAGAAAAAAAAAAAAAAACGAAAACAAAAAAGATGAAATTAAGAACAATCTAAAAAAAAAAAAGGAATGGGAAACTTTTTGTTGTGTACTTAAACCCTCCATAAAATAATTTTATTACTAATTAATTGATTATCTTTAAACGATATTGGTTGTTGCGGTTTATGTGTTGTGTTGACTTGTGTTTATTTTGAGGATTAGAGAGAGAGCTTAGTTGAAATCTTTAATTAATTGCATCATAGAATTAAAGGCAAAAAAAAAAAAAGAAAACATATAGTAAATAATTATTACTCAAAACTTAAAAAAAAACAAAAAAAAAAAAGTAAATAAATAAATAAAGAAAGTACACAAAGAAGAACGCATTCAACTTTCTAAGAAAAACTTACAAATAACAATTTATTAGAAGATATTCATTCATTCCAAAAAAAAAAAAAAAAAAAAAAAAAGAAGTGAAAATATGTTTTAACTACGGTAACCGTAGCGTAGGATGAATCTTTTCCACGCTATATGCGATTGTAACGCTGAAAAGTACTAGTACACTTGGTGGGAGATATTCTCTCACGTCTAAAAGATATATATTTAAAATATGGATTGATTGTTATGCCTATCGCTGTAGGATGAACGCATACGCTACTATTTCGTTTTGCTATTCACCCAAAAACATCTTGCGCAATAGCAAACGCTTTTTCTTAAAGCTCCTTATAGATGAGTGAGGCTGAGCATATAAGTGTACGTATATTTTCCTTTCCATTTCGACTACACTACACAGCAACTGTTATCCGTTATCCGTTATCATAAGGACCTATTATAGAGGTATTCTTCGATTTTTGAATACATTTTCAAATTGCAATCATCAAGTAAATTCAAAAATATTCTAACTTATCTACTCCATCTTCATCTCCATTTTTTTTTTTCATTTTTTTTTTTATTTTTATTTTTTTTTTTTATAATATAATATAATTCTTGATGCATTCTTTCTAATTAGAGACAGTTTTTATTATAATAAAAAGCGTTTATTATCATAGAAGTGTATGCCAAAAATCTGCAAATTTTCTTCTAGTCTTTGTTTAAATTTCTTATTTCCTCCTCGTGCAATTTTTCTGTTTTGTTTTTCTTCGGATATGTACATACATATAACTATAAACTCGATATAATCATATTTAAAAATTAGTTTCTATATATATGCACTTAACTGTTGTTACTACATGTATAGCACGTTACACTTAAAAAAATTTTTTTTTCTTTTTTTCCTCATAGTTGGCCGTTTAATGCGAACAAAAAACAAGAAAAAAATTCCAATAGGTTTTTTCCTCTTTCTCTTTTCTCTATTAGGGATCTTAGGAATGTAAGCAAAACTGATTCAAGTCTATGATGGATAAAGTTTTAGATTTCCTTCTTCCGGTAAACATAGATTTTCAAGTGAATAATCATACCTATCACTAATCCGGAAGATAGTCAATCATTATCAAGCGTGTTCAGTACGAGATAGCTTATTATAATGTTAACTTGAGGATTGAGAGTTGAACCTTAAAATTTGTCTAAAATCATTACAAAATTAAAAAATTTTCAAAAGTAATCAGAAATCATTATCGAATCAAGTATATCAACCCGAAACTGAATGTTAATTTTGTAAATTATCAATATATATTCTTGTTCAAAATTCGATTTCTGATAAAGAAATTTTTTCTTCCATCTTCGAAGTGGAAGCGCCCTAACAAGGCAATGAGTCATAAGGGAAACGTTGCTCAACGCGCACGATTTGATAGATTCATGTTAGTACTTCCATCTAAATAGAATAGAAATCCTCTTACGTATGTCGCTCGCTCAAGACATTTATGCCTCCATTCACCCATAAAATGTATTACAGTCAGTAAAGTTGCACATGACTAAGTAAGTCATCAAATGATATCAAGTCCTACTTATGAGGATTATTTTCCAATCCTTCTACAAAGATTTTTAGCTTTTGTATTTTCTTCGCTTGACAAGAAATTAATTTGGTCAGCTTTCAAAAAAAAAAAAATATATATATGCTTGGTTTAGCCAACAATTGATCGTGGACTTTGTAGTTTCTCCGAACTTAGATTTTGTTAGAAATCTTGAAAATATTACTTTGCTTGTATTGCGACAAAACACTGTAATATAATTCTCAGCCATAGCGTTAAGATTAGTAGCGATTAGGTTTAAAGCTTCATCCAGCTCCGTGGTGATCGAACTTTCAGCTCCCAAGGACATCACAGCCATGAAAGTTTTTTTATGGAAAATGGTGAGAAAATTAAATTTATTACATGATTACATGCCGTCACCTTTGCATAGAGTTTTATGCCAAAATTTGTCAAACCATTAGCAAAACGTTCGTCATTGCTGGCCACATTCCTTTCCAGGAAGTATCAAAAATATTAAGATTTGAAACACTAAGGAGATTTTTCTAAAATAAAAAAAGAACGGTTAAGTAAAACACGTCAAAATAGAAAAAAAAAAAAAAAATCATACAGCTCTAAACTGACGGGAATCCGAAAATAAATCAATAAAAATGACATTCGTGTGTTATTCATTGGAGAAAGCTCTAAAAATATGACATGTAAATGGCGAAAAGGTTTCCTGCTAATTAATCTGTCTTTCCTGTCTGCATGAGTACTCGAGCGGGTAATAGTCACGACTATCAAGTCAATGTTCGCTGGTTCAACTGTACTGTGCGGTAGATTTTCACTCTCCGGTCGTGCTCATTGATTAAGCCGTAACACATCCACTAACTTGTAACCAACCAACATTCTGTCTCTTTCTCTTTCCTCATTCCTTTCTAAGCGTCACAGTGTTCTACCAGCAGCAGATTTGCTCTGACTGATTGGTCATATTTAAACAAGAAGAAAACAGAAATTTGTTTACCTTCTTGAAATGCATGTTGATACTTATATCAAATCAGATAAGAAATGTGATATATTTTGAGTAACAATGCTTTCGAGAGTTTCAGTAACAACGCTCAACTTAACTATACTTATTTAATTCTCTACGAAATAACTTTTTCCATTTTTAACAAATCATATCAGGAAACTTCTATTCCAACACGACGGGTGCCCACACAGCCAGCTTGCAATCTGAATTTAAAATTATAGTGCCTTTGTCATTGTTAGATAATACTGCGGATTGCTCTCCCTTTCGCCCACCCAGAAGATCCCTTCAGCATCTATGAGTGCTGTAGGAGAGAGAAGCTTGGGCGATGATGCGATTCCGTGTCGCTTTTGCAAGTTTTAAATCAATACGCAACGACTCTAATTAGTTTTTTGCAATTTGAGTATCTTTTGAGTAAATCAAGCTGGACGGTTTCATCACAATTTCTTACGTCTTTCCTTTCTAACGTGATTTCGAACGGGTTTTTCCAAGATAAATATGTAACTGCATGTTCTATCTGTCATTCTGGACTTTCCCACAATAACCTCCTCCTTATGAATTTTGTTGCAGATACGCCTATTGTAGGTATGAAGGTGATAGTCGTGTGGGTCTCGGCACAATTCTTTTTTTATGACTGCCGAGATTGAACTCTTGCTGTTTACCCGTAATTACGCTGTAGCCAACAAAACTGTATTATGCTTTGCTGCGCTATATATATTGTATGAGGTAAGTTGGGTTGAGATTGTTTCTCGTGACCCGTTGGTGGACGGCTGTTAGTGTAGTAGTGTATGATGCATCCTCTCACGTTGCTTACAACATGATTTTGATGAACACTTGTTTGCCGTAGGCTCACAACTCAAGCAGTTGTAGTACGGGCACGCTGAACAAATCATTTCCCGTCGCTTATTAGTGTTGGCTTGTAGTAATCGATGATAATGATATGCACGATGTGATGCGTTGCATACGGGCCATTGAGTGCTTCCCACATTTTTGATAGCTTCTACTGCTTGTACGCCTATTTTGAAGGACTTCTTGATTGTCGTTAATAAAGCATGAATCAATCTGCCGTTCTGTGTTGATTTCACTGGCGAGTTTTCGTTGCATGACAAAAGGCTGTCTATCTTCGCCACAAATGAGTTGGATGTATCTAACATCCGTTTCATAGCTGCTTTCATCATCTTTTCATCAAAACACATCCAATTGCCCGCATATTGTTGCACATATTGGCTAGTAATTCTCAAGCATCATTGTAGTGGCTATCTGTCATGTTACGATCGTTGATGTTTTCGAAGTTTTCAGTTTTGGACGATCACAAATATTGTGGTTCTTGAATTCCCGGTAGTTTTCGATTGTCAGGTACCATGACTTCTCAATTTGCCA